TGGGCCAAAATGCACTAGAAATCTACTTGAGATGCCGCATGCGACCAGAGATAGGCGTCCACAGTTTGCTGAGATAACAGTTGTTTAATCAAGGAGACTACCAGTGTAGGGAAGGCCTGATATCTGCAAGCATGGGAATTAGAGTTTAAGCGCTTCGCTCAGTGAAGCGGCTGTGTACGTGCTTCTAGGGCCTTGAGAAATAGCGCCTGGAGTGAAATGCACACAGGGGCTGGACCCGAGTGAAATCGGTCAACCAGAAATATAAGAAACGGATCTACGAAACAATGAAAGGATCCGGATTGGAGGCTCGAGTTTAATAAGCCCATCGAAAGAGAGGGTCGGGGTAAATAGCAAGTGTGATGAGGCCATACTCGGTTTTCCACAAAGGGGCACACATTTTGACGATTGCAATTTAAACAAGTGAGAAGTTGCGATAGGGCGGCAGTGGGATAAGAGTGTAAAGAGTAGATAGATAGTCAATGACAGAAAGAGGAGTGATAGTGTAACCCTTTTCGGCAGAACGGTTGTTGAGGCATTGACTTCACTTGTCTCTTTTGACGAGTTCGCAGCTTGGTGCAGAGAATGGCAAAGCTCACTGATGATGCCGACAACGATGCCGGCGAAATGTTTAAGAATGTATCAAGTCCACTGTCAGATGCTGGGAATCATGACAACAACTATGGCAGACGACTTCGGAGTAGGTGCGTTCTACCTAGTCCCCCTGACAACAAGACCAAGTTGCGACAACGAGGTCAACCCACTTCTATAAATCTAAAGGAGACTGCAATCATAACAGAGGCCACAGCTTTTTGGTCTTCATATATTCTATCCTCATTTGGCCACAGATAAATTCATAATAGTTCAGTGCAATAATGAATTGTTCTGTAACTAATTAATAGGCATTCAAAATAAAGACAAAAAATTTATTGAATTATAAAAAATATAAAAAAGATAAATATAAATGTGTACCACCAGTGATGATTATCTTTAGCACATTCCGTCTATTTTTAGAGTTACCTAATGGCTATAAAACTAAACGAAAAAAAAGCGTGTTCCTTAAAGTCAAAGAATAATTTATCCGCTCAATTTTCCATTCTGGGTTTTGATGAATCTCTTGGGGGAGACTTTGAGTTCGCATAAAAGTGAATAAAGAAGAGATTCGTTGGTCGATCTCGCCAAATGAAAACGGATGAATCTCGTTCTACTGCAGCCGTTTGGCTTTTATACGATATTCATGCTGACGCAGTCCACAAGACTTCCTCCCTTGTTTGGGGTGAAATCGTGCCCATCATATGATGAAGACTATCCGAGCTGGGTTTCATTCTTGTAAGTCTCACGTTACCACTAGGCCAAGAACACTATCCGGCTGTTTTTCTTCTTATATAGACTCAATTGAGCCAAAAGAAAATTAAAAACCTAGATAGATCGATATATAGTGGTTTGGTTAATTTACTTTAACACTGGTCCTGTTATTTTTGCTCGATTGTATGAGTGTGTGTATTTGTGCGTGCTAGCATCTATATGCAATACGGTTCTTAAATCAGAGCTGTCAAAGTTTTAATTTCAGGTTCTGATCCTCAAGACCTAA